TGCATGTTGGTCTTCTGGTTGATTTTGCAGGTTTTGGGCAAAGTTTTCGAAAGTTGAGGGTTGCTGTTGAGCTTCGCGCTGAGCACCGTTCTTCGCGCCGGGCGCGTGGCCAACTGGAGGCTCCCTTTAGGCAAGCCCGTCGGGCGCAAGGATGTGTGCGTCAGGCGAGTTTGAGAATGTGAGCCTCTGGATGGCCCACGCTGAGCGCAGCTTGAACTACGTTGGGCGCAATCCCAGTAGGTGACAAATTTTGGGTTTCTGGGATGGCACCGGGCACGACCCTTGTCGCGCTGGGCGTGGAGGCTCCTTGGGAGTCTCTGCCATGGGGGCGCTGGGCGCAATTGAATTTGCGCTGGGCGCGAGACCTAGGGGAGGTCTCTGCCTTTCCCGCGCTGGGCAAGGGTTTGGGCACGCCAGGCGCGTGAGGCTCCTTAGAGTCTATGCTAAGGCATGTGCTGGGCGCAATTTGTATTGGGTCAGGCGCGTGAGAGCCTTGGGCTCTCTGGCTGGGTCATGCCAGGCGCGGGAACTCTTGCGCCGGGCGCGCTGGACCCTGGTGCTCTCTGGTTGTGCTGCACCGGGAACGAACGGGAGTGCGCCGGGCGCGGAGGTGATGTTTCACTAAATGCTGTTAAATGTTGCTTTATGCTGAGTATGAACTGAAATTGATGAATATGATTTGCTGACTAGATGATAATGCTGAATCGTGATGTTAAGCTGTTATAGATGTATATTGTCGTGTTGAGCCGTGCTGTAAGCCGTTATTGTTGTATGATGAATTGTTGTGTTGTGCTATATGCTGATATAAGCTGTTGTAGGCCGTAAGGCTGAACTGTTGTAAGTCGTAAGGCTGAGCTGTTGTAGGATATCTTCGAGCTGATATGCGTGACGACGCATTGTGTGCTATTGCTGTATATGTTGTATAGTTGATGAGATTTATGCTGATGTTGTGTGATGATAGCTGTAGCTGTGCATATTTCTTATATATGTTTTATATGTCGATTCTTTTCACTAGCTTACCCTTTGTTGTTTCCATGTGTTTGGACTGCGATGATCATATGTTGTATGGGAGCAGAGCAGGGTTAGGTTGGTGATATGAGGCAGATCTGTAGCTGACAGATAGAGCTGATTCTCTTTTGATGTTTTGATGTTTTGGCTACAAGTTTGACTACTTTGGGCTGTATCTATACTTTGATGTTTAGCTCAGATTGGACCTTGTGTATATATATATATATATATACTCATTTCTGTGTGTATGCTGTGGTGTTGGGTAGTGTGTAGTAACCAGCCGGGTCGTTACAACAAACAAATTATATTCTGCTCCAATTAACACTACGGACAAGAGAGGAGTGAAGAAGATGAATATGAAATATTG